TAAACTTTTAGTCTCCTTACTATGGTTCATATAGGGTTTAGGGTTTAGGGTTTAGGGTTTAGGGTTTAGGGTTTAGGGTTTAGGGCTTAGGGTTTAGGGTTTAGTCCTAAGAGCCAAGCAGAAGAACACCAAGTTTAAGTTCCTTAAAGCCCCCAAAGCCGAAACCCGAAATTCTTCGGAGTCCTAAGCCTGGAAACCCTGAACATTACATTAAACCCTAACGTCGGCGCCTTAATAATTAGAATAAGGTTTTGGGGTTTGTTATACTACAATTATAATAAGGAGCCCCCCAAAATAGTATTGGTAATTTTTTGGGCCCCCATATTATTAAACCCCCTAAACCCTAAACCCTAAAGCCCAAAACCGTAAACCCTTAAAGGAACCCTGAACCCCAAACCCTGTAATTATTTAGGCCCCTATATTAGACCCTGAACCCTTAACCCTAAACCCTAAAAGTTTTGGTAATTATTTAGGCCCCTAAACCCTAAACCCTAAACCCTAAACCCTAAACCCTAAACCCTAAACCCTAAACCCTAAACCCTAAAGTAATTATTTAGGCCCCTCTATGAACTGTAGGGCGGCTGCGCGCCTCCGAGGCCCAACTTCTTCTCCACGTCGGCTCGCGCTTCCTCCCCCCAGACCCTCTGACACCCGGGGTTTAGGGGTTTAGGAGTTTAGGAGTTTAGGGGTTTAGGGTTTAGGGTTTAGGGTTTAGGGTTTAGGGGTTTAGGGGTTAAGGGGTTAAGGAGTTTAGGGGTTTAGGGGTTTAGGGGTTTAGGAGTTTAGGAGTTTAGGGGTTTAGGAGTTTAGGGGTTAAGGGGTTTGGGGATTCCGGGGTGTAGGAGTTTAGGGGCATAGGGTTTAGGGCCGTAGGGTTTCAAGAAGGCCAATGTGGGGCTCTATAGGGCTCTGTTAGGGCAAACGAGGGGGGTTTATAGGGCTTGTTGAAGGATCGAAGATAGACAAGGGTGTGTAGGGCTGGTATGTAGGCTGTTACAGGGGCCGTCTTGGATTTTGTTTTAAAGGTGCAAGGATCTAAATTTAAATCATGTAGAACGCGAAAACTGACAAATGTGTTTAGGCAGTGTCCATTCTCAAGATCATGTAAGGGGTCTTACATCTAACAAGGACTTTTTCAAGGGTTTTGCCGGGATTTGAAACGGATAGATGAATAAACATAAGTAGGTAGGGTATAAAGATTTTACTCCTCCTTTTTTTGCAAGGGCTGGGGATCGAGAACTCCTTTGGTTTTAGGGTTTAGGGTTTAGGGTTTAGGGTTTAGGGTTTAGGGTTTAGGGTTTAGGGTTTAGTTAGGGTTCACGAAGTCCTATCGCAACACCTTGAACTTCGAACCCGATCCTTACATCCCAAAACCCTGGACAAGAACGAAGCCCTGTTTAGGGGCGGTTCCAGTTCCAAAACAGCCTCTCTATCTGAGAGACGTCCTCCGAGGAATCCGTGATCCGTGTCTTCGTGAGGAGACCCGGGCGGGATCAGCAGAGAGAGAACTATAATAAGGAACCCCCCAAAATAGTATAGGTAATTATTTAGGCTCCTATATTACCCTAAACCCTAAACCCTATCTTTTGGGTCCCAAACTTGTCTGCAGAACAGCTTGCACTGGCGGCCATGCCTGCCGATGCCTCGGCCCCTGGGCAGCTTTAACCTCTTGGTAGCTGTCGTGCGGTTTAGAGTGCACGGTTTAGAGTCTAGGGTTTAGGGTTTAGGGTTTACTTGGAGGATCATGGGACTTAGTAAGTGGGTTTAAAATTAGGGTAACTTTACTTATAACCCCAATTAAGGGACTTATAACCTCATCTTACTAAGTCCTTGGCAACGGCATCGCTGGCATCATTTTCCACCAATCCTACAAGCCCAGAGACCCCAATACCCCAAAGACTTGATACCTTAACAAAACGGGAATGTTCCTGGTGAGTTCCTTAATTCAGGGGGCCTATGAAGCCAGGTGAAACGCCAGAAAGCACTCTAAAGCACCATGAACACCCTAAAGGAGCCCTAGGATATCCCGTAGCAGTAGCCAAGGGGCCTAGACCCCTACCCCCAAAACTTTCTCAATCAAGGGTGCCCTACCGTATCAAGGCACGGGTGATTGAACCATTTCGAGGGGCTTCCTGGCAATTTACCAGGCTTTACAAGGCGCGTTCATTGAAATCATGCCATGCTACTAGGCCCACCACCTCTTAAGTCAATAACCATGTCTTGAACGGGTAGCAAATGAAAAACAGCTAGAATAAGAACCCCCCCCGAAATAGTACCCTAAACCCTAAACCCTAAACCCTAAACCCTAGGTAATTATTTAGGCCCCTACTGCCTCCCCCCAACCCCGCTGCCCCCGTATAAGAACCTTTACAGCACCTCGAAATGGGGGGAATCATGGTAAGACCCCTTGGACCCCGGGTTGAACTCATGGGCCCCTAGTATGGGCTCTTTAAACCCTAAACCCTAAACCCTAAACCCTAAATCTTAACCCTGGGATCCTTATACACTTACTGTATACCCTAGATGTACCCTTCAGAGTCCCTAGAAAGGCTGAAGGGTCCATATTAGGGGCCCATACTTCTAACCTTAGCTGGTTCCCTGTTGGGACTATATTGAACATGATCATTTTTAATCCTTATTGGGTTTCGTTACAACATAAATAAAAAAGCCTAAACCCTAAACCCTAAACATTAAACCCTAAACCCTAAACCCTAAAAATTGTAGCCAAGAAGGACCCAGTTAGAGTCTAGGACCCTAAACCCTAAACCCTAAACCGGCCCCACTCCTCCATCTGCTCCCTCATGGTGTCGCGCTGCTTTGCCAGCTGCTTCAGGGACGGGTCGAAGGCCGTGCTGATGCAGTAGTTCCTCGCACATATATATATATATATATTTAGGGTTTAGGGTTTTGGGTTTAGGGTTTAGGGTTTAGGGTTTAGGGTTTAGGGATATATATATATATATATATGTATGCATGTCTTTAATACATGCACATATACATACACGTATGTACATATGTGTATATATATATACACACACATACATTTCGAAAAGGCTCTTTACATTAATAAGCGTAGCCGTTTTCCTTTGATTATAGGTACTACTGGAAGAGCTACTTCCTGGCTGGGGGTTAGGTGCGGGGTCAGGGTTTGGGGGGTCATAGTGTCGTAGCATTGCCAAACTTTTGGCTTTGGGCTTTAAGGTTTAGGGTGCGATAGAACTTTTTAGCTTCCGGGGAATTACCAACATACAGTCTGCTCAACACCCTATGGTTGAGGACTATCGTGACTATAGGTTTTGAAATAATTTGCCGTCGTAACTCCTTCATAGCCCAAAACCCTTTTCCATTATTCTTTAACACACTCGCTCCCCTAAATCCTGCAGCCCTAAACCCT